TGTTGCTCTGAATGGAGATAACAATTTTTTTAAACAAATATATATACTTTATTTATAAACCCAAGCAAGTTACAGATGTTTTGGGTGTACTAGTAGGGTAATGTAATATATTTTGTTCTTTTTAAAATATATATTTGAAAACTACAAAAATTATATTTCTTCACCCTCCACTAAAAAAAATAAATGAGGCTTAGCACTAAAGGCACTAGGGCAAAATATTTTCTTATCACCGTAATTTCTCATAAGTACTTGAAATCATTGTTTTTCTATGTTTCAAGAAAAATAACTAAAATTTAAGTGTTAATGAATAAATGTGTATATATATATATATATATATGTGTGTAATGTAAAATATCAGTGTGGTTTGCAAAAATTGGTAATACAGTTAGATTTATACTTTGTATTTGATTCTGTGTGTATATTTATATATATATATATATTTATAAATTATAAATGATTATTACTTACTTCATGGTAAGAGTCAGTAGCAATTCAAGGTGTTTCATAACTGTAAGGGAACTTCTAAACTACACTTTAGCTACAAAAGTAAGAATGTTTTCCAAAGAATACTAGATTTATTAGGCTTATAAAACTAAATGAGTGTGATAAGTAGTACCAAAACTAGAGTTTTTATTGGTTGACGAATCTGTGCTGAAAACGGAAATAGGATTTGTACATCGATGCCACTAAATTCCAAACACCCCAAAAGTTTTACCAATATTAGAAAAATTGCAATGTGTATTGTATCGGCACCAAACCACATAATAAATGTTTTGACAGGTTCAAAGTGCAGTGTTGTTACTCTCAAAAGTCTTCTTGTGAACACTATAGGATACATGCATAAGCTGATAAGTTACACATCCTGTTGTTGGCATAAACGTTTACACTGATTCTAAGTGCAGTGTGATTACTCTGAATTTTTCAAGAAAACGTTTTAGCATATATGATCCGATACATTAGATATCCTGTTCTCAGAGCAGGGATTGAGCCAAATATCTTTTCGCATGTGCTTTGTTGCTTTCAGGAGTATCGTATTACGATGGTGTCAAGTAAACAGTCTACTGGCATAAGCAGCAATTTATTGGTTTATTTTCAGCAGGGTTCTACTTTAGTCATTGACAGTAAAATAAAGACAGAAAATAAATGTGAAATGTTTAGCAGTTCAAACTTGTAAGAGAAGTACTTTGAAACTTCTTCGCCAATAATAACGAAAAAAAGGCACAGCTGCTCCTTTTATTTCTAATTTTACAACTTGTCCTTTCATTATATCTTTGGGATTTGTCTACAGGATGAAGACTCAAGTATATCATTAAATAACTGATAAGATATAGTTTTATGGAAAACAACTGTTTGAAATGTATTTAGGAGGTTTTAAAGATTACACAAAAGAAATTTGAGATTTTTGGGATGAAGAATAGTATTTTTAATCATAACGTGAAAATCACTTCCACTTGGACTAGTAACGAAACAGACTCAGTATATTCACAATCAAATCTTTAGTAAAAATATTTCATTAAAAAATTTGATTTTTTATTTACAAAAGACTTGTAATGTTTACTAAAGGTATACCAAATTTTGTGAAGATGCAAATACTGAATTAAAAGTTATAGTATAAATACTTAATGTGTGTAAACATGTATACGAACTCGTGTATATTATACTGAGCCCGTTGCAGAAGGGTTAATCTAGTTTCCATGGTGTTACTATAAAGGAAGTTAACACTGTTTTAGAGAGGAAAACTACCACCATATATTTTAAAGAATCTGTTTGGTTCTGTAAAATATAGTTCTGTTTCGAATAATAGAGTTCCTGTGGTTTGTTGGTGTGTATTGCCAAAAAGTTATGATATCTAATCAAAAATACCTTTGGTGTGAAAAAATGGTGCAGACCAAAAAAAAAAAAAAGGATTGAGCATGTGACTTAAGGAAATGAAACCAAAATTGGCAGCCAAACTGGTAGCTACATTTCTAGCATTGGTAAGAATTGTACAGCAAATATTCATTCTTTCATTAGTTAGCTAGGCTGTGTATTTTGTTTTACCCACCATTATACCCCAAGTTGAACCAAAAATGCAGCCTGGCTAAATAATCAATTAATATTTGTTGTAAAATTCTTATCAGTGCTATAAGTGTAGCTACCATTTGGCTTCCAATTTTGATTTTGTTCTTTTAAGTTGCATACTCAACACTTTTTTGCCACACCTTTTTTTCACACCTAACATGTTTTTTGATTAGATAATTTGTAAGAAGAAACGTATTTATCATACAACTGTAAAAAAGAGTGATCTGAAGTGTTACAAAAAGAGCTTCTGTTATAAAGTTTATATCTTATTTCTTCTTAACTTAACTGGTTGAGATTTAAATGTATTTAAAGCAGTGTAGAAAAATCTGTTATTCAGAATATTTTAACTTTATGAATGTATAAGCTGTAATTTCAAAAATGTCTCAGTTTGTATACAACACAATCAATCAGTATTGACTCTTATCGATCTAATTAGAATTATATTACAGATTGATCTGCTTTGAGTTGGATTGGTGTAACTTTTACTATTTAATCTATTCATTAGAAAAACTACAAAGATATGAATCAGAAGCTATTGTTTTTTTCTTCTAAGAATAAAATATTGCAAGAGTTTAACCATGTTTACAATCCTAAACCCTAAGATTACAGTAATATTTTGTTTTGTACATATGTTCTCATCACCACAAGATTTAACAATAATCACAGATATTTAGCATTAGTTGGAAGAAGTACTTTGAAATTATCAAATTACACATATCAGTAAGTTTATAACACTAAATATATTAATCATTTAGCTGTACACAAGAATACATAAACAAACATTCAGCATACTTAGAAAGTCAGTAGGGGTGTTTTGAACAGTCTGTAAAACAAAATATTACACTTCATTGCATATACTCGCATCATTGTTGATATTACACATGTAATATATCAATGTATGCAGAGGGTTGAGTACATTTATATTAAAATTGTTATAAATATGCAAATTTGTAAGTTATGTAACAAACACAGCTGATATAAATTTATGATGGAATGGCATTTATCAGAACTACATTTTAACATTATTTGACAGTTTGAATGTAGTGTGATGCCAATGAAAAATTTCTGCTTTTAAGGGTCAGGAATGAATTAGACATTTCCAATGCAAAATATTCACATGCTTGGACCGTAAAAAATATGTTCAGGTCAGGGATTATAATTTCCAAGATGTGAATATCCCTTCTACTTAATGGCATTGGAAACTATAGAGGCAATTTGAGGCACTAGGACCATCCAGAAAAAGAGTGGCAACAAGTTGTACTCCCACTTGTGTTAAGCAAAGTGTGGCAGCTTGTAACATGAGAATCCATGAACACAAAGGTCATTGGCCAAATCCATCCACATGCTCCAGGCAACGGTAAACAGTACAGTCAAGTATCTCTGTCTTGAGAAAAAAAGTAGGAATGGGAGCACCAAAAAAGTAAAGAAACAAGATAGGAATGGTTGGGATAACATTACAACACTTGGTGGTTTTGGACATGGTTCAACCTCAAAGTGGGCGAGGCCATCATTCTGCCCATTCCTACTTTGTGTTTTACTTTGAACTAATTATAGACTTGAATTGAGTTTTATCAGTAGCTAATCCTTTCTAAATACTCAACAAATTTAAAAATTTCAAAAATTGGCAGTTTTTATACTATTCTTTTGACCCACCCATTACCAGTCAAATAACTATAATGTCTCCCATAAGCAAAGTATGACTATTGGAGCTTGCTGTCCCACTTCCAACATCAAACAACCCCTTATGAGGTCGTGCATTTTGTTAGGGTCACGTAATGTGATCTCATACAAGTACCTGTACTTGGTTGTTGAAACAAAGTTTACAAGAGAGAAATTTAGCTATATATATACCTTTCATTTAATTTGAACAATTACCAAAAGATACAAAAATCACACAGAGTAGGAATGGGTGGAATGATGGCCACACTCACTTTGAGGTTGCATCATGTCAAAAACCACCAAGTGTTGTAATGTTACCCACCCATTCCTACCTTGTTTCCTTACTTTTTGGTGCTCCCAATTCTATTTCCTAATTTTTTTTATTTGAAATACTTTTTACATATGTATATAAATAAATGTTTTATGAACATGGTTTCTAAAAATGAATCTAGTAACAGTATTTCTATGGATAATGACAATCCTATTTCTAGTATTTCCTTGAAATATTTTTTATGTATATTTGGTGATCTCTTTTAAGTATTGTTTGATTAGCATTTTGACTTCTGTATATTTTCAAATTATATTCAGATGCTGTTATTGATAAATCCTTATAGATTGAAACATGTGAAAAATCTGATTCTCAAAGACATATTCCTACTTGGTCAACTATATGACCCTGCAAATTATTAATTGTGATAGTAAAAGCAGTGAATTTTATTATGAATTTCAGATTCTTCTCTTTGGACTGTCTTTCTGGTTTTGGCTTTGTTAGCCTGCTGAGCATAAGAAGCTCTTTTTAATTTGGGCTTCTCAAAATTGAAATGTGCTGTGGGTAAAACATGGGTTGTTATGGAGTTGTAGCCGAGGGTTCCAATTGGACAAATTTTGGTGGTGATGTGCCAATGATTATGATTTTTGTGCTCCAGCAGTACCAAGCATGGGGTGTACATACATCCAATTCAATTTTATTCCTCATCACGATCTCTACCAATATATATATATATTTGTGCCAGTTGTATGTTAATCGGTATCTCAACAGCAGAGATATCAGTATGCCAGATGGATGGCTTTTTGTCTTTGTATAATATATTCTGTTTCAATGGAAACTGCTCTAGAGGTATTGATCAAAATGCATGGTCATTAGACAGTGCATGACCAGATGTAGTAACATGGACTATAACAATGTAGTGAACAGCTTTACAGTTACATTCATAAGTCAGGCTTACATATAATCTAAAATATCTAAGGAATTAACTTTTATTATAAAATTTATCTTATAGCTGACAGCAAAATTTGGAGTAGATAATCCTCAGATTTTGCAACATGCAGAAGAATTATTAGAAGAAATGGGACCAGGAGAAGATGGTGAAGATGAAAATGAGAATGAAATTAATGAGAACAGCAAAGAAGAAGAAGAGTTTGAATCAAGCTCGGGTGAAGAAATGGAACACTAGAATGGAAGAGCTATTGTAAAAGTGAAAAATGTACAGCGTTTTAAATTAAAATTTTGCTTGTTAGTTTTGATTTTTTTTTTCTTGTGACCTCTGATAAATTTAAAAATGTAATTCTAATGTTCAACTTGGAAAACTGAAATACGACACTGTAAGACTTTTGAAGTAATTTTATTGGATCAAATATTTTGTCTGTTTTATTAATTTTTAAGATTATTTAAATCTAAAAATCAAAGATGTCACCTTAATTTAGATTCAGAATTGAGGTATATTTACAAAAAAGTAAACGATCATTTCATGGTGTATTAATGACATGATAAACAAGTTGTTCCAACAATAGATAAAATAGTGTAGATGTACTAGTGGGATTCTTACTGTTTCATTAAGCATTGTTAATGAAATGAAGTTTGGGATAATCATATATTGAATGGTAAAGATAAAGATGCTTGTAAAATTATATTCGATTGCATTTATTATGAGTAAATACTTAATTTACTTAGGTTTTTAAATATGTTTAAGATATAGTTAATTCTTTATTTGAAATAATAACTGAGTAAAACAGGTTTTGATATTCACAAAATAAGCTTTTAAAACAAGAATAAAGCTTTACATGTTTTATAGAAAGAAGCCGTACATTTTATGCCAATCTCAAACTTTTCAACAATTTGTGCACCTAATCAGATTGGTGTTAGCAAGAGCTTCATTAGCTAAAATGTTCCTGGTACCTTCTGTGGTAGTTTTAGATTCATGAACATACATTATGATTTGGTCTAACTTTAAGGGTTTTAATGATGAACTGTCTTGAAGTTTAGCATTTTGTGCTCAAGCTCTCATTTCAATAACATTGAGCATCGTATAGGACAGTTTTTTAAATTTCAAAGTAAGTAAGGATTAAATCATTGATACTATCCCCTCACATATCAGTCTCAGTTAACTTGATAAAACAATCACATTTTTGTAAAATTTGCAGTGATAAAAAACAAAATAATTGAACTATAGGTAAGGTATACATCACACACACACATACACACGTATGTACATATATATATATTTATATGTATGTATGTGTGTGTGTGTGTTGTGTTTTATAGAGGCAGGGGAAATCCTGAAAAGGACATTCTTCATCCACCACTACCCTTATCTGATTCTTTGACTGAATTCAGCTGTCTAATCCACTACTCTGGATGTTATTGTTGGGGTGTGTCCACATCTTTTGCTGCATCTCAACCTGCAAGAAACTACAAACAGCAGCAACAGCATACACCATATGAAATTTCTGACAACAGTGCCAACTACTGTCCCAGCCCACCTCATCCCCCAATAGACCCCCACAAATCAAGGCAACAAAGTGACTGGATGCCTGGACCCTGTGCAAATGGAAAGAGTATTTGAGGAGAAGCTGGGGTGAGTCCAACCAGTCCAGGATGATCGGGGAGATTCACCAGATTTGTGCTGAGCTCACTATTAATGTGTAGTATATAAGCATACCATACATTTTTATATCCTTGTTTTAATCTTGTATTGGTCATAATTTGTTGGGTATTCTGTGTTTGTGCAGTTTTTTTATAATATGTGGTCAAGAAAGTCATTAGGTGGCTTTTGTTCTAGCTGCCTTTTTTCTTTGCCATTTTTTTCAGATAACACTTGGTCTGCCCATGGAAGGTATGACTATAATGCTACACATTATACAAGGGTGTCAACAACAGTGTCCTCCACTGGTATGTCAGGTGATGCCTTGTAGTTACAATCTCTCTTGGGTTTGAATGAGAATAATCAGTCATGTGGGAAGTACTAGTTAATCAGCAGTAGTATGACATAACATCTGAAGTAAGTAATGTGCAAACAGTTTGGTAGATGAACTTGGCCTAGTCAGTCAGATAGAACCAAGCAATTACACACACACACACTGTATTGTTGTTAAGGTGAATAATAAAGGTTGTTTATTTGTGTTCTACATATACAGTTTTTTTATTTTGTTGTTACAAACTGTTATTCAGGTATTCAGAACTACTCCATTATAAATATGTCGACGAATCTTCTGTTAGTCGAAGACCTACCCCATTATTCTAACGAAAATCAGTTTATCCTGAACGTACCCCAAATGAGAAACCTCGCTAAGGCTAAAGAAATCATCAGCTAAATCACCTCTGCCAACAAACACTCAGTATAATCTGTGACAACTGATTCTGAGTGAGTTCCACACAATGTGCCATCTTCTGTTTTTCTTTTTTTTTCATCTACATCTTATTTCATTTAGTTTAAGGGATCAGCTTCCTAAAGTGTTGAAAGATCATCAGCTTTACCCATCTTGTGTATATATATATATATATATATAGTAC